AAAAAAAAAACGATAGGCTTCTTGACTTTGTCAAGCGTCAGATATACTTCATTGCATCATTAACATTAGTAGAACAATGGACAGTTAATAGTACACATATATTTCAGTCTCAGGCGGAAGTTGATTTCATAGGAAAGCCTTTACTGTCCCATCTAGATAAGAAGAGGTAAATAAGTTGAGAGTAAGCATATTCAGCTTTTAGAAGGTAATATTCATATTCACAACATTATGTAGAACAATTAAGAAGAAATCTTTTTTTTTTTTAATTTGTTTTAGTAATATTTTAGTATAGGAAGAAGAAGTAATGAGAGCTGTTATAATATGCCACAGTGAATGAATTTATTTATATTTACATATACACATATATTAGATGTTATGATATGTGTATATTAGATGTTCTTTATAGACATATCTTTTTTCCTGGATAAGCTCTGAAAAATATACAGCATGCATATCTTTTTTAGTTATAAATTTGTACTTAGTATCTTTTTTTATTTTTCTATTTTATACTAATAGCTACTTTTGGGATAGTACTATTCAAGTACCAGATTGTTCCGAAACTTCTGACATTACTGCTGCATGAAAGTCTGGATTCAGGAGAAAAATTCAGCATCATACTTACTCTTGGTCATTGCACAGAGGATTGTGGTAAGTATTTGATTTATTTAGTGTGCTTATTAAAACAGTAGAGTAGAAATAAGTTACCTCCTACTAGGTCATATGAAAAGCTTAAAATTATTGTCTTTCTCCATTTAGTCCCCAAACCAGGCATTTTAGTTCTTCATCCTCCTTCACACATTGTATTCAGTCATTTACTAAGACCTGTGATTCTACTTCTATTTACCCCTCATCCTTTTTTTCCCAATTCTAGTGCGGCCCTCCCAGTTTAGGCCCTTAGCCCCTTAATATCTTCCACCAATATTATTGCAATAGCAAACCTTCAAAGGTTCTTTATTTCTGTACCAGAAAGTACTTATTACTCATTCCTCTCTATATTCTCTTTCTCCTTCCCCTTCCATCTTCTTCCTTCTCTCTACTTTCCTCCAGTTTTCCCTCTTCCAATCTACTCCTTTTTTCCATGCTCTCCACTCTCCCCTCACTCTCTCTCTTCTTTCTTTTTCCTCCTCTTTCTCTCTCTTCCCCTTCCATTTTTCCATTTATCTTCCTTTGCTCTCTCTTGCTTCTTCCATCTGTCTTCCTTCCCTCATTTTCTATTTCCTTCATTAGTTTATTTCTCTATTTGTTCTTTTATCCTCTGTGTAATTTAGGATTGACAGTGAGAGCAGTTTGTTTACTCTTATGAGATATGATACTACTCTATGCCTGTATTTCAGAAACCATCACTTATGAGACTTAGGTATTTTGTTATAGCAAATGGATTATTTGTTACACTGACAATATGTACCGTGTTTCCCTAAAAATAAGACACTGTCTTATATTTATTTTTTCTCAAGAAGACACACTAGGGCTTATTTTCAGGGGATGTCTTGTTTTTATTAAGTATAATACAACAATCTACATTTATTCAAATACAGTTAAGTCATCTTCTTCTGGAACCTGACAGGGGGAGCCAACCTTGTTGGTTGGTGGTAGTGATGCATGAACTCCTTTCCCCTAACCGTTCGCACATGTGCAATAGGATGCCTGCGACCATGGTTACTACACACACACCCTCGCAAGTGCGAATAGCTCAGAGAAAGGAGCTGTGGCAGATAAAAGGTGTTCCAGTCTTCCTTACTGCTCCACACCGAAATGCATGGCGTGGCTATGCAGATACGCTGCATAGCCATGCCTATCACTAGGTCTTATTGTCGGAGTTATAATTAACAAATGCTTATATTTAACAAATGCATAGAAATCCTGCTAGGGCTTATTTTTGGGGTAGGTCTTATTTTCGGGGAAACACAGTATTTTTTTGAGACAATCTCACTCTGTTGTCCAGACTAGAGTGCAGTGGTGTAATCATAGCTCATTGTAACTTTAAACTCCTGGCCTCAAGCAATCCTCCTGCTTTAGCCTCCTGAGTAGCTAGGACTACAGGTAAGCTCCACCAAGCCCAGCTAATTTTTAAAATTTTTTGTAATGATAGTGTCTCGTTTGTTAACTAGGCTGGTCTTTTTTTTTTTTTTTGAGACAGAGCCTCAAGCTGTCCCCCTGGGCAGAGTGCCGTGGCATTACAGTTCACAGCAACCTCCAACTCCTGGGCTCAAGCAAGTCTCCTGCCTCCGCCTCCCAAGTAGCTGGGACCACAGGCGCCCGCCACAACGCCTGGCTATTTTTTGGTTGCAGCCGTCATTGTTGTTTTGGCAGGTCCGGGCTGGGGATTCGAACCTGCCACCTTAGGTGTAGGTCCGGTTGAGCTTAAACTTCTGTCCTCAAGCCTTGGCCTCTTAAGAATATAAACATGTACCACTGCATCTGGCCTTGAAAATAAATTTGAAACTATGTCTTTCTCTAATTTTATTTGTTGTTTTATTTATCTTTTGGGGGACCAAGTCTCACTATGTTGCCCAGTTGTGCAGTGGTACAATCATAGTTCATTATAACCTCAAACTCCTTGGCTCAAACAATCCTCCCACTTCAGCCTCTTGAGTAGCTGAGACTACCTGCATGTGCCACCGTGCCTGGCCAGTTTTTAAATTTTTTAGAGGTTGGGTCTTACGGTGTTGCCTGGCCTGGTGTCAAACACTTGACTTCAAGCAGTGTCCAGCCTTGGCCTCTCAAAGTGCTAAGATTAGGTATGAGTCACTGTGCCCAGCTCTTTTTTTCTATTTTTAAAAATTTGAACTGTTTGTAATTATCACAAGGAAGAATTACCTATGACCTCATACAGAGTTTATGGTAAAATTATTGTCTTTAATTTTTGCTGTGTTTTCTAGAGGAAAATCAGTATGACCTTTTTAAATACAATGGGCTTCCACTCATGATACAAGCTTTAACTGATTCTCAGGATGAGGAACTAAACAAAGCTGCCATATTTGTGCTTCACAACTGCCAAAGAGCTGGTAAGTGTACTGTTACTATAAGAATATATCACCCAAAGTTTCTAAAGGGAACTTATATCTGCTTTCATGAGCCAATCCCTTTTAGTTTTCAAGTTATTCTCAAGTTACTCTTACATTTGAAAAGCAGAGTATATAATTGGGACACGACAACTAGGGTATATTCAGCATATATAGACCTATAAAGGAGAGAGCTGTAGTATAAATAATTCACTTATTTTATGCCATGTGGACAAATTTAGTTTGTAGGACTTAAATGTGAGGACTAAGGGTATTTATTATTAAATCACAATATAAAGTATACTCATTTATTTATTTATATTTATTTATTTTATTTTATTTTTTTTTGCAGTTTCTGGCCAGGGCTGGGTTTGAACCCACCACCTCCAGCATATGGGGCTGGTGCCCTACCCTTTTGAGCCACAGGCACCACCCATACTCATTTATTTATTTAAAAATGTTTGAGTTTCCGTTATGTGCCAGCCACTGTGCTGGGCATTGGGGATACAGTGATTAAAAAAAAAAGACATTCTGTGCATTCATAGAGCTTACTTTAATTAGAGAAATAGACAATGATTGAATAATCTCAAATATGAGACTGTGTATTACAAATTGACATAAGGGTTATGAAGAGATGGACCATGGCTCTTTGAGAGCCTAAAACAAAGGAATCTGGTCTAGACCTGGAGCAGAAAAGGCTTTGGAAAAAAATGATTCTTGAGCTGAGATCTGAATGTTTAGAATTAATTAGGTGAAAAGTAAGGAATTTGTTATGGGTAAGTATTGCAGGTATAAGGAACGGTGAGGTACCTTGTGGTAGGAGAGAGCCTGGTGCATTTAAAGAATCAATGACCAGTGTTGCTGGTGTACAGAGGGGCAGTGGCCATGATAAGGATTTTGGTCTTTATGGAAGAAAAATTTCAGATACAATATGTTAAAAAGAAAATTTTAAGGCCAGGAGCAGTGGCTCACACCTGTAATCCGAGCACTTAGGCAGCCAAGCAAGATAGATTGCTTGAGCTCACAAGTTCAAGACCAGCCTGAGGCAGAGCAAGATCCTGTCTCTAAAAATAGCCGGGCTTTGTGGCAGGGACCTGTAATCCCAGCTACTTGGAAGGCTGAGACAAGAGTTATCACTTAAGCCCAAGAGTTTAAAGTTGCTGAGAGCTAAGATACCACGGCACTCTACAAGAGTGACCAAGTAAGACTCTGTCTCAAAAAAAAAAAAAAAAAAAAAAGAAAAAGATTTAAAAGTTTATAGGAAGGAACTACTTTATGAACATTGTTTTAAAAAACTTCTTTAAAACCATTATCCATGTATCCATATACTACCTACCAGATGGTGGTTATGTGCTCGTCATAACATTTTCATGTACTCTTTTCCTTGTAACTCTGAAGAGTAAAGTCTAATTTGTGACATTTGGCTCCTGGGCCTCTGCCAAGCACTCTTTCCATTTATTTCATACCAGATAAGTTGTTAAGATTGTCTAGATGGACAAAATTTAAACAAAGGGTATGGTAGAGTATGAGGTTTTATTTATTTAAATTGTTAAAAAAATTCTAGTAATTGATAAAATCACTATTTTTTTCCCATATTACAAAGCTGAGAAATTATCTCTAAGTCTCGGAGACTATTCTTTTGATGAAAATGAAACAGAACAATCAAATTATATGAATATGAAAGAAAAGAAACTTGAAGAGCACTGGAAGAAAGCAAAAGAAATTCTACACAGAATTGAACAGCTTGAAAGAGAAGAGAATGAGGTTGGCTTCTTTATTTCAAAATATAGACCTTTTTCAAAAACTTTAACAAGGGTCGGAGGGTAACAATTTCTTTCTTCCCAAGTTGTTTTAAAGAAAATTTAATGGTTTTGGCTCAGCCCCTATAGCACAGTGGGTATGGCTCCAGCCACATACACTGAGGGTGGCGGGTTCGAACCTAGCCCGGGCCAGCTAAACAACTGCAACAACAGAAAAAATAGCCAGGCATTGTGGTGGGCTCCTGTAGTCCCAGCTACTTGGGAGGTTGAGGCAAGAGAATTGCTTAAGCCCAAGAGTTGAGGTTGCTGTGAGCTGTGATGCCATATCACTCTACTGAGGGTGACATAATGAGACTCAGTCTCAAAAATAAATAAATAAAATTAAAAAATTATTTGCTTTACATGTAAAATTCCATATTAATACTTGAGGAATCAAAATAATTTTTTTTTTATTGTTGGGGATTCATTGAGGGTACAAAGAACCAGGTTACATTGCATTT